TTTGGTCAAAATTTTCTTCAGGCAGAGATCATCATCTTGGAAGTCACTCCCTGACAAGCCTTATCTATGAGGCTTATGCAATTGAGGATATTGAAGTGATTCCTCCAGAACTCTCATAGGGTCATTTCAGTGTCCGAGGTCACTTCAAAGCACCTTTGAAACAGTGCTTTGGTGTAGAATTTTTTGAAGTTTGAAATGATCTGCTGGTCCATGGGCTGGATGACAGTGGTATTAAGGGGCAAGAACTTCACTGTGATGAAACTAAACTCCTACAACAATTGGTCTTCCAAGCCTGGAGGATGAGCAGGTGCATTGTCCATTACCAGGAGGCACTTGAGTGGCAATTGATTTTCCAGGAAGTATTCACACTCGGGCCAAACACTTCATTGACCCACTCAATGAAAATTTGCCTCATGACCCATGCCATATTGTTATCCTTCCACATCACACACAATTTACTCTTGATGAAATTGTTTTTCTTGAACACTTGGGGATTTTCAGAGTGATACACCAGTAAAGGTTCCACTTTGAAACCCCTCACTAGCGTTGCCACAGAATGAAAGAGTTAGCCTATCCTTCATAGGCACGTGTCCTGGCAGTGACTTTTCCTCCTGCGTGATATAGGTCCTCTTTAGCATTTTCTTACAAAAGAGGCCTATTTCGTTACAACTAAAGACTTGTTGGAGGAGGAATCCTTCAGCCTCTATGTACTCCTTGAATTCATCAACGAATTCTTCAGCCCCACGTTTGTCCAAACTTGCAGGCTCACCATGCCTTTCCACACTGTGTATGCCAGTTCGCCTCTTGAATTAGTCAAACCAGCCTCTGTTGGCCTTAAATTCACTAACAGCTGCACTTTCATACTTTGCTACAAGTTCTTTCTTGAAATCTATCGTGTTTCTCACCTTCTTTATCAAAGAGCTGGCACTCGGAACTTTCTTTGGCCATCCATGGTGGGTTATTTAGCAGTCGCACTCAATAAACAAGCACAAAAAACAATGGATTTTTACAAAATGTTTTGGATGAACACGCAGGGTGATGCTCACTCAATGAGAAACAAAGGCAGACCAAGTCACGAACGCATGGGATGCTTTGTGTGGGCACTCTTCCCCAATTTGGTATCCAATTTTTCTTTATCTAAATCATTTGATACCCTCATCACCTTACTCTTTTCTATGTTCACTTTCAACTTTCTGCCTTTACACACATTCTCAAACTCATCCACTAGCCTTTGTAATTTTTCTTTAGAATCTCCCATAAGCACAGTATCATCAGCAAAAAGTAACTGTGTCAATTCCCATTTTGTATTTGATTCCTCATAATTTAATCCCACCCCTCTCCCGAACACCCTAGCATTTACTTCTTTTACAACCCCATCTATAAATATATTAAACAACCAAGGTGACATTACACATCCCTGTCTAAGACCTACTTTTACCGGGAAGTATTTCATTATTTATTTCATCACTTCCCCTTCCCCCCACCTCTGTGCTCTTGCTCTTGCTCTCCCTCTGTGGGCACTTAGCTCCCTTGCAGTGCTCCCTTTTCTTTGTATTTGACTGGCTCCTCCTCCTTACTTCCCCACTACTACCACTACCACTATTACTACTACTGCTACTACCACTACTACTACTGCTACTACCACTACTACTACTACCACCACTACCTCTTCCTGCCTATATATAGCCGTCCTGCTCCACTTCGGGTTAGTGTGACTTTGTAAATGGTCCAAGTCGGACCGAAACGTCGTCGTAGGCTCCTCTCTTCTATGTGCGGGTTATTTGTGTATAAATAAATACAATGTTCTAAAGCTCGAGATTGTCCATAACCCTAGCACTAATAAGTTAAATAATGCAGAACTTAGCCATACAGATTGTGAAAAGGACTTAGGGGTTATGGTAAGTAGCAATCTTAAACCAAGACAGCAATGCCTAAGAAACAGATTACTGGGATTTATATCAAGAAGTGTAAGCAACAGAAGTCCAGTGGTTATATTACAGCTGTATACATCATTAGTAAGGCCTCACCTAGATTATGCAGCTCAATTCTAGTCTCCATATTACAGAATGGATACAAATTTGTTAGAAATCATTCAGCGTAAAATGACTAAATTAATATATAGCATTAGAAATCTTCCGTATGAAGAAAGATTGAAGACTCTTAAACTACATTCACCTGTAAGACGAAGAATGAGGGGAGACATGATCAAAGTGTATAAGTGGAAGATGGGTATTAACAAACGGGATATAAATAAGGTCTTGAGGATACATTTCCAAGAGAGAACCCACAATAATGGATTCAAATTAGATAAGTTTAGATTTTGAAAGGACATAGGAAAGTACTGGTTTGGTAATAGGGTAGTTGATGAGCGGAACGGTCTACCTAGTAGGGTTATTGAAGCTAAAACCTTGGGTAGTTTCAAATTTAGGTTGGATAAATACATGGGTGAGAAAAGTCGGATTTGAGTGGGACTTGTGCATGAGTAAATAGAATTATCAAAGCTTTCTTGGGTAGCATGAAAATTGGGTTGGGCAAATATTTTGTTTTTGGGATGTATTGTGAAGGACCTGCCTAGTATGGGCCAACAGGCCTGCTGCAGTGTTCCTCCTTTCTTATGTTCTTAATGCAGAAGGCCTGTTGGCCCATACTAGGCAGGTCCTTCACAAACCATCCCACTAACAGAATCGTATTTGCTCAACCTAATTTTCAATGCTTCCCAGGCAATAAGCTTTCACTCATGCGCAATTCCCACTCAAGTCAAACCATGTGTGTGGGGAAGTACCCTGTCTGGTGTGTGGGGAAGTACCCCGACTAGTGTGTGGGGAAGTACCCTGACTGGTGTACATAAGAAAGCATGTCCTTCACAAACCATCCCACTAACAGAATCGTATTTGCCCAACCCAATTTTCAATGCTTCCCAAGCAATAAGCTTTGATAATTTTATTCACTCATGCTCAAGTCCCACTCAAATCAAATCATGTGTGTGGGGAAGTACCTTGGCTGGTGTGTGGGGACATGCCCTGGCTGGTGTGTGGGGAAGTGCCCTGGCTGGTGTGTGGGGAAGTGCCCTGGCTGGTGTGTGGGGAAGTGCTCTGGCTGGTGTGCAGGGAAGTGCCCTGGCTGGTGTGTGGGGAAGTGCCCTGGCTGGTGTGTAGGGAAGTGCCCTGGCTGGTGTGTAGGGAAGTGCCCTGGCTGGTGTGTGGGGAAGTGCCCTGGCTGGTGTGTGGGGAAGTGCCCTGGCTGGTGTGTGGGGAAGTGCTCTGGCTGGTGTGTGGGGAAGTGCTCTGGCTGGTGTGTGGGGAAGTACTCTGGCTGGTGTGTGGGGAAGTACCCTGACTTGTGTGTTGTTTCTTGAATTCTATCGTGTTTATCGCCTTCTTTACCAAAGGGCTGGCACTTGGAGCTTTCTTTTGGCCCATGGTGGCTTATTTAGCAGTTGCAAGCACTAAAACAAATGGAATATTACGAAATGTATCATATGAACATGTGGGATCATGCTCACTGGCTGATAAACAATGACACACTGACTGTAAATGATGTGTTGGGTCGCACGGACACATTTGGGATGAATAACTATTACTGAGCTAAATGACGATCACCAAGCCAATATTTTGCCAAAAAAACTCTACTACTTCTGAATATTACAAAATCCGATGACTACGAAATTCGGGGTCCACTATACTATGATAATTAAGCCACCATGGGATCAGCCCTTTGATAAAGGCGAGAAACATGACAGAATTCAAGAAAGAACTCATAGCAAAGTACAGAAGTGGCGTACGCATGGCCCATCTCACCAGGATGTACGGGAAGTCCGCATCAACGATCAGTTCCATCCTGGCGAAGAAAAAAGAAATCAAGAAAGTTGATGTTGCAAAAGCGGTAAATGTGCTAATGAAACAGAGATCGCAAACAATCGAAGATATGGAGTTGTTGTTGTTGGTGTGGATCAATGAAAAACAGTTAGCGGGAGATAGTGTTGTGGAGGCGATAATTTGCGAAAAGGCAAGGCAGTTGCATGCGGGTCTCGCAAAGAAAATGCCTGGAACGAGTGCTACTGTTAGTGAATTTAAGGCCAGCAGAGGCAAAGAAGCGGAGTAACCCAGGATAGGGTATTAATACCTGAAGTCCTTATGGAGGGGGATTTCCCTTCCAAACAATAACCTCTTCTCCTCCCTCTTCCCTCCTCGCCATCTTCCATATGCCAACAAGAGCCTTTAATAAATGTAAAAGTGATGTTATATGTTCATTTAACCATTTCATTAGTCATTTCAATTATTTCTCATTGTTTTCTGTATGTAAAACTATTGTGATTCTCTATAAAATGTATTTTTTGTTAATATTTTTGGGTGTCTGGAAAGGATTACAGTGGACCCCCGGTTAACGATATTTTTTCACTCCAGAAGTATGTTCAGGTGCCAGTACTGACCGAATTTGTTCCCATAAGAAATATTGTGAAGTAGATTAGTCCATTTCAGACCCCCAAACATACACGTACAAACGCACTTACATAAATACACTTACATAATTGGTCACATTCGGAGGTAATCGTTATCCGGGGGTCCACTGAAATTAGATTTACATTATTTCTTATGGGAAATATTGCTTCAGTTTTTGTACAATTCGGTTTTCATCAGACTTTCTGGAACGAATTAATCACGAAAACCGAGGTTCCACTGTACGCTGCTAAGTAAGGAGAGGCTATATTAAAGAATACAACATAAAAACAACCAATTAATGACAATGCAGCAAATATATAACTGTGCAACAATGTTTTATATTTACTCTCAAATTTATATTTGTCTTTCAAGAAAATCGTTAACAAAGAAAATCTTGAACAAACATTTTCCTAAGCAAATAAAAACTTCAATTGATAAACTCACCTTTTAAAATATTTACCATGTGTACCATATATAATCAGAATAATGAAATGAAATGAAAGCAAATAAAGCACAGTAATTAACATATTAAAAATAAATACAATTCAGCATATCACTTAC